TAACATTTATATATATATATGATATTAAATTTGATACAAAAATTTACTTACCACATAAGGAACTGATTCGATATTGATGTCTACGCCACCGATGATTCTTTCTACTGAATTGCTCGAAAGTTTACACTGCGAATGTGCTAAATCGAAAAACGTATCCGATTTTACAGATTTAAAAAACTATTTTTAAATAATGTGAAATTTATAACGATATAAATACTCACTGAAATAGAGAAAACTTAGCATTAAAAAATGAGCGTTCATCTTGATGGTGTAAAAGACACTACTAGTTTTAACCAGCATAATTATGGTTATTAGCAGAAATTATCAAAGGACAAAGCGTTTATGGCCATTTGCAAAAAATAGTTTATCTATTGCTATTCCGATTATTAAAATGTTATCAATGGAAACATATTATAAACATTTATTTTTCATCATATATTACTTTATTTTAATCAAATATTACATATGTAAATATACAAGAAATTTATCTATTTATTTATTTATTAATATAATTAATTATGAAATATTATTCATATTTAATATTTAAAGAACATTTATTTTTTAAGAAAAAATATAAAAATAAAGATATTTATACGCAAATAGAGAATATATAAAATAAGACAATAACAGTTAACAAAAGTAAGGCTTTTTAAATGCTAATAATATTAAATGATAATCTTGAATACAAACAAAAAGAGAGAGAAAGAAATTTGATAAGAGCTACAGTATATGTTTGATAAAATACACATTTTTTAAATACTAGAAATTATGTTAGTTACACAAGTATAACATCGTTAAAAATGAACAAAATTTAAATCCGAAAAGAGAATTTTAAAGTTTAAAATCTCTATTTTCAAAAGGTCACTATTGTTCTTGAATTTCTGTGTTTGGAAATTTTTACATATAAAAAATTGCTGGACAAGAGTTGGACAAAATGGAAAATTGTCTTCTCACTTTGTGGACCTGTCATACCCAAAAAAAATTTGGACCCAAAAAACTTTCGACTTTCTAATGTGAAAGCTTAAAGTTTTCTCTACACACAAAATTCTTTCTTTAAATTTTTCCAAGATTTTTTGTTAATAAGTTATCACCGATTAAATAAAAAATTGAACGTTTTGACTTTGATTGCTCATAACTCCGTTAAAAATCATGGTAGCGCAATTCCAAAAACAGATTCTTAATGTATATATTATAAAATATATATTGTGACGTTTTTCATCGTCCTCCCGACTTAAGGAAAGAGCGGCCCGGTCGCCAAATCGACAAGATTTAGTTTTCCTTTTTTAGTATAAGCACGAAAATGTAAGCTCGTTAGGAGCTCGCAAGTTAGTTACCGATATAAGGATGAGCGAGCGGCAAGATCTCATCCGGCGAAAGAAGTGAAGGAGAACATTGAGGCAGCCGAAAGCGGAAGTCCGAATCATCCGGAATGCGGAAGCCACCCGTGATGTTAATTCTTTCATATGATAAACTTTAATAATTGCGGGCAATCATCGCTGCCATTAATTTTAAATCTTTACATGGCAGGAACGAGGCGCGAAGGGTCGGAAGGATCCGGTCGAGGGGATGGCTACTCCGCATGCAAGAAGCAAGGGAGCCCCAAAGGGACAAAAGTCCAATCGTGCGCTGCCGAAAGTCCGTACCTCTAAGGCTGCGTTCGGAAACATCACCCGTGTGCACACGAGTGTCGTTCTATCTTTGTTATGTACCAAAAGTTAAACAAAGATAGAACGACACTCATGTGCACACGGGTGATGTTTCCGAATGCAGCCTAAGTCGGACGGAAGAAAATTTGAAAGCGGCAGGGTGATAAACCCGCAATTACGGCCGTGAAGGCCACGAGGACTGCGAGGGCCACAGGGCGGCCCTGCAAGACGCGGAAACGCCATAGGTGGCTTAATCGCGATTTATCGGATCGGTGTATCTCCTGTAGGAGATTTTGTTCATCACTATTCGGTGAGACATCGGCGAGCACGCAGGCCTCAAGGAATCAATCATCGAAGATCCAAGCGAGAAAGAACTTCCGACCGGTGAGATCAGCGTCGCTTTCCTGTAAAGTTGCTGATTTTCTTAGGTATTTATTCGGATAAGTCGCGCCCTTAGTAATTAGTTGTCGTGTCACGCGTTTTTTTTATGTCTTTTCTTTGTGAAATTTGGGAAATATTAGTGAATTGCGTATTAACGGCCAACGGGCACAAGCCACATTTGAATCTTATTGTTAGCATAAGCGTTCTCTCTCTTTATAATTAGCCGCCGCCGACAGTCAATTATATTAAATTTGTATTTTTGTTCAGTATTTATAAAATTAGTTATCGGGATTTTTGTCTTGCGATTGATATTTCGAATCGAGTAAAAGTATTGCGTCGTGCTTTATATATCACAGTCGCGCCCGGTAGTATCCGTCTTTGTATTGTTAGCTAAATTCTTATGAGTATTTCGAGCATAATTAAAGCGTCTCAAAGAGGATTAGAAATTAAAAAGGAACTTGTGACGAATATTGCAAATCTTAGAGTCGTTAATTTTCGCGAGTCTCGAATATTATATATTTTGCGCAGTGCGACGTAAAGGTCGTCGCTGTTATTATCAACATCTGTATAGACTCTCTGCGAGTCAACAAGTTAACGAAAATAATTGAGTCGCACGGTATAGGAAGAACCATAATTATCGAAGCGATTTTCCGAACGTGTGCAGAGTATTTGCCGGTATATTATACATATATATATAATATATTTTTTAATTTTTATATTCATCTACTTACCTCCCCTATATATATACAGTGTCCTAAAATTAGACCGACAAACTTCAGGTGGTTATAATTCTGAACAAAAAATTTCCTATAAACATGGGTCGAAAAATGCTTCCTTAAGAAGTTATCGCTCAAAAACCTCTGATGCAAAGGAAGAGCAAAAGGTGAAAAGAAAATGAAACTTAATAAATTTCTTGAAAAAACGATAAAAATAAAAAATAAAAATCTTTTTCTTTTATGAAAATAAAATAAATTTTTTTAAACTAAAATAGCACGTAATAGTAGAGAAAGCATTCTTAAGAAAGCGTTTTTCGACCCCTGTTTATAGGAAATTTTTTGTTCAGAATTAAATTTCCTATAAGATCTCAAAGTCTGGCTGGAACGTTCGGGGCCACCCTGTATATATAATGGTATTCCAGGAGGAAAGGTCAATATTCTGGGAGGTGATACCGATCATTTTAAGCAAAAATGTTCACATAAACGAGTGTTCTATTTCAAACGGTTTCCGAGATAGAGCTGTTTAAATGTATAGTTGCAAAATTACTGATAAGAAAGAGATACTGCGTACTGTTTCTAATTTATTGTTCAAATGACACATTTTTTGCAGTTGATAATAAATTTTCAAACATTCCACCGTCAACAGCAATGCATTTATCAACTCTTAAGAATATGGCGTGTTATTATTATTTGGAATAGGACCACTCGTTCATGAACATTTTTACTTAAAATGACCGATCACCTCCCAGAATATTGACCTTTCTTCCTGGGACACCCTATATTCATTTATTTATTTATATGTAAATAAAATTGTATTGTAATTTAACATTTTAAAGTTAAAAAATGCAGAGATAGTAAGATTGCCATTGTTTCTATGCATAATATGCAATATGTCAATATTTAATCAGCCAATCGAATTTCCTTTTTGACACATTCTTTTGGATGAGTTTAGGAACGCTAAAGAAAACTGACTGTGATAGTTATAAAATACAAGTTATATAAAATACAAGTGATAATAAATATAATGTCTGAGTAAGTATATATAAAACATAGAAAAATTTTATCAAAAAAAATAATGTTATTAATTATCATTAATTGCATTTAGTCGGCCGTATTGTGCCGGCATAATCTATTGATATATAACCTAACAATACTTAATCTACACTACGAGAATCAAAGAGTAAAAATTTAATAGAGTTTTTGTTATAACGTAGAAATTATAAAATATAATAATAATAAAATTATTATTAAACCCTTTTTACGATATCAGTATATGTAATAAACCAGCGTATGGTAAAAGATTAGAAATCTAAACATATATATATTAATCTTTTTCAGAAAAAAATTTCGTCAAGGAAGAGCTAGTAAACAACAAATAGAGGCTCTAGTAACTTATTTGGAGCAACATCCACATCTTGCATCGGGCAAATTTACCACTTTAAATAGTCATGAAAAATTGCAAAGTGATTGGGAAGAATTAGCCAAATATTTAAATGCATTGCAAGTGCCAAATAGGAAAGAAAAAGATGTAAAATCCTGGAAAACTGTAGGTAAATATAATATATAATAATAACATTATGTTTTATTTAATGATAATATTTCTATTTTGTTACAGACATGGCGGGATCATAAATCTAAAGTATCAGAAAAGGTACAAAAATTAAGAAAAGCAAGTGTAAGCACAGGAGATAATTCTATTGAGATGAATTTAACAGAATTAGATAAAAGAATTTTAGGAATAATTGGATATGAATATGTGCAAGACTTTACAAATGTTTCTGATAGTTGCAATGTTTCTGATAGTCTTCCTGAAGAACATAATGTAAGTAAAAAAATAAAAAACTGCATGATCTGTACTGTTATACATATGCACATATATTTTTATGAAAAATATATTTACAATATTACATTTATAATTATTTTTTTATTTAACATTTAGAATACTATTGAAGAATTGAGAGCTGGAAATGAAACTATTTTACATAATGCTTCCAGTAATAATTTTAGAATTAGACGATATTTCAATTGATACATAATTTCTTTCCTACCTTTCTTAATCTTGATATTACCAAAAATATATATAAAATTTTATCTTTTTAGCCACAGCAAATGAAAATATTAACCAAGGAATATATAAGAATGAAGATACATGATGCACGAGAATCTTTTGAAGTAATAGCAGACAAGCATGCTGACGCGATGAAGGTTGATATTGTTACTAAATTAATGCAAAAGGCATCTTAATTTTATTTTAATAAATAATACATCAATATCATATCACAATATCTTTACAGATGCTAGCTGAGGCAATAAAGTTGCAAGCTGATGCTACTCTTCAAATAAGCAACGCTATTGATAAGATGGCCAAAAACGAAGAACGACAAACCAAATTATTAGAATTTATATGTGAAAATTTAAAAGATAAAAATACATAAGCTTTTATTGACTTACAATTCATCTTACATTAATATCTTATATTACATTACATTACATTAACTTTATTCTACTACTATATTAACTTACTACTATATTAATTAAATATTATATACATTAAATATATAATTTATCATATTTTTATTCGCCATTGACATTATCCCATAAGCGACCATAATACCCCACAGCGACCAATAACGATCAAGGAACCGCTGCGCGCGCAGATACAAATTGAGTAGCAAATTATGTGTTTACATATTTTCTTATACAATTTTTTGAATTTATTCCTTTTGCATAGCTAAAAATAGTGCTACTCAATTTCATAATTTATATAGTCTTTATTTTTTTCGTATTATAATATTTATTGTTTAATGTATGCAGTAATATAATCGTTGGAACGTATAAGTTTTTTCTTATCTACTAATTTCCAATTATACTGTTCAAATTTTTTATCAAATGGTAGTGGATCTGTTGTACAATTATGTCCTTGCATAGGTCCGATAACGAGAATTAAACGGCCTTTATAATTTTCTATATAATTACAGAATGCAGTATTATTATTAAAGTAGCAAAATAACATAGCATATCGTTTTGGTATTTGAATTTTTGTTGACGCCTTCTCAACAAAAATAATATTTTTCAAGAATTTGGGTGGAGCATATTTGCTATTCCACCAGGAACTATCCAATTCTATACCTATAATGTCTAATCCTTAAAAATACATAAAAAAAACTAAAAATATTGTTAATAGAAAATATGTATTAATATATTTATTTATTTCAGAAACTTACCTGAATATTTTTGTAATAACCATTCTAGTAATCCACAACCACAACCAATACTTGCAATTCCAAATAAATTATACTTTTGTATAATATTATTCATCCAATACAGATCATCTATATCTGGCAATACCCATGATAATCTTCTGAGATCATTAGTTGTACAAGATAGAGCAGTGATTTCTCTCCACTTTTGAGCATTATATAAGGAAAAAATTTTTTCCTCGGTATTGTCACCACTCAATACTAAATTTATACATATATGTATATAAATATTGTATATATTTTTGTTACGGATAATTTTAATATAGTTTTCCTATTCAGATTTAAAAAGAAAACAAGTAACACATTACTTACACGACATTATAATGCAGAATATGGAATACAGGATACAGATATGTAACAGACTATTTATATGAATGAGAGATTTTCAACCATGAACTTGAGTTGTGTAATTTTTCCAATAATAGATTAGCTGCTAGCTGTATAGTATAGTTGAATGTATATAATAAGTCTGAATATACACATACACACACACACACATTTGTTCACTAGATTCTGCCGCAACGTGATATATATAAAATAGAAATATAAGTCAATAATCAAAAATCCTATTTATATTTTATCCTGCTTTGTTTACATTACAATATTACAGAGACATGTTTGAGTTATAAATTCATTAATTATAAAATAATATTATTGTAATTCGTGAAAATATGCACATACATCCTATATAATAAAATAATAATAAATTAAAGTTAATCTAAATCTTATACATTTCTTCAATCAAGATCAATACTTTGTAATGCATAATGTATATCATCTTTTGATACATTTAATAAAATCTTTTGATGTATATTACTACCTGAATATTCATATATTAACAATCTGTAATCATCTAATTTTGTACAAATATCAAGCGTTTGAGTAATATTGGGTGTTTCATAGCCTAAAAGAAAAAAGATAATTATAAGCAAAATTTTTTCATAAGCATTATTTTTTTGTATTAATTATCTATATACAAACCATTAAAGGAACATAAAAATTCAAATTGTTTGTAAACGTTTATGAAACAAACTTCTTCAACACCGGTTCGTGTAACTTCTGAGCATACAGCTTGCAAGAATACTTGTTCAAATTTCGAACAATGTCTTATTGCTTGAACCTTTGGATTTGTTATCATCTCCGACAAAGCTTCGTTTACATCATGTATGGTTACTGTAGTACCGTTACGTATTTCAGTAATTTCTGCCGCACGACGACAAATGTCCAAAGCACGGCGAGCGTCACCCGATACCGCAGATACTTTACTAATATACATAAAAAATACAAGGTATTGTTAATTAAAATGTTTAATCATATTTTATCTATTTTATTCTATTAATAGCTTTTTGTAAAAAAGTAATCTATAACTATTTAGAGCTGTTCAAAAAACTCTTTATCCCCTTGAAGAGATGAAGGCGAGAAAAATATCGGGACAAAGTCGCTGAATCGGAAATCAAATCCGAGAAAATATTTATAAATAGATAAAAACATAAAAAATTTAAAAAAATTAATATAATGCTTACCGTGCAATTAATTGTAAAGCTTCGTTTTTGAAAATATTTATATCTTTAAGTCTAGTCAATACTATCTCTTGCAATTGCTTATGGTTGTACGGTTGAAAAGTTACTCGGGTAAGACCTAATCGTGATGTGACTCTACCCATTAAAACTCTTTCTGGAAGATCCATAGTATTTGCAATTGTAATAACTATTAATCGTGCAAAGATTTTAGCAGGCCAATCTAATAAATTATATATCACATCTTGTCGTTTTGTACATAATAAATCAAGCTATAAAATCCAAATCAGAAAAAAAAAATATAAATTAGTACAGTAAAATAAATAATAAAAACAATAACATAAAATCATTGATGCAAATCTAAAAAATATAATTAAATAAGAAATAAATAAAGATATATATTATACACAATAAAGGATATAAATAAATAAATATATATATACACATACCTCATCTACAAGTAATAATGTCATTGGTCTCTTAGCATTGCTATTGAATTTCTTTTCTAGTGCGTTATATGCTTGTTCCCATGTTAAAATTTTCCCAGATAATTGCTTTAGAATTTGAACATAGGCTTGTCTGGGATCGGATAATTTCATACCATTAATTTCAACAAATTCAAAACTGTTTAATTTACCCTTTTCCACCGATCTTTTTAAACATTTTATAATTTCATTTACAGTAGCAGTTTTACCTGTACCTGGGACCCCACTTATATAGATACATCTGCAATTAATATTTGTGCACAATATTTTAGTCTTAATAAATAAAAATAAATGTTAAAAGATATTTATTAAAATAAACTTACCCTCCGCTATTATCCATTAATTTGCTTTCTAAAAATGTATAAATGTCATTGAATTGTTCTTCTCTGCAAGGCAATGACTTAGGCACTGTACTGACATGTAATCTCATTCTGGCTTCTTGCAATGGTGTAACTGGTTTAGCTAAGACTTTAGTTCTTCTTTTCACAGATGGTGTTAAAGCACCATGCTTCAGCGATGCACGATGTGACTTTGTCTGTGCGTATGAAATATTTATTAAACTTTTCTGTATTACTAATTTAAAGAAAGCATTCTTTACATCTTCCTCTCTTTGTGTAGTTTTTATTAACAAATATTTTTGTAGCATTGTGTACAATCTCTATCTCATCAACTTTGGTCTTACTTTTATCTTTCTGTATTATTGATTCATTTATGAAATACAGTAAAAATAATAAAATTATTCAAAAAAAAGCTCAAATGATATCATTAATAGGATAAAAGGAAAGGCCAATTAGAGCCTGCATAGTAAGTGGTGCGTAATGTAAATAAAAAAATTTACTATATGACATACATAAAATTGTACTGATATCAAATATTTCGATCCACTTCGGATCCTTTTCACTCGAGGAAAAGAAATAACATAATTCAGTCAATAAGAATGCATATAATTCTTTTGTTATTACACATGTTTACAATATACTAACCTCCATATTTATTAACCTCTGGCAATTTCAGTATTAAGAATTTTTGAAGGGCAAAATGTGCAATAGATTCTGCTTTTTTTATTGTTTTCCGCGTCCTTTTTCGTCTCAATAATTGTTTCAATAATACTCGTCGACATTTATCTCAAAATAAAGCTTTAAGAGTCGGCAGGAGTGACCAGTGACCGGCAAACGGCAAACTCCAAAACTCTGAACAGTCTGAACTTAGTCAACTTCAATTACTGCAACCAGCAGCCAGTTCAGCATTCAGATCATTGTCAGTTCAGCTATAAAGAACAGACCAATGTCAACGAATATGATTGAAACGATTATTGAGACGAAAAAGGACGCAGAAGGCAAGAACAAAACTAAAATTTATTGCACATTCTGTCCTTCAAAAATGCTTAATGCTGGGACTGCCAGGTTAATAAATATGGAGGTTAGTATTATGTATACTGTGAACGTAGTAACATGTCAATATTGAAACATATGACCTCTTATTGATTATTTCTTTTACATAATTAATTTAATCATCAATGTATTTATGTTGCTTTAATATCGTTAATTAATTTTGCACGTCATTTGTAATCTAAAAATTGTATTGATTATTATATATGATTCTACATAAATTTTTTATTCATGTAAAAAATTCATTTGTAAAAACTTGCCATAAATAGATAATTTACAATTAGATGAATAAATAATAATGTAAAAATTTTTTGCAGTTTGCGTTACCTTATATTCATAGCAAAGGAGAAGGTAAAGGCAATCAGTCAGAAGTTATTTTGAACTACTGGTTAGTAGAAGATATGTATACCTTCGAAAATATTGGTGTGTCACACACAGTAGATAATATCAAGTACCTAGCTTGCGCTGATTGTGAAAGGGGTCCAGTAGGATGGCACGATTTGTCTACCAAAAAATCATATATTGCACTGTGTAGAGTCAAACACGAATAGAGATATGTGTATGCTTATTAATAAAATAATTTTATAATTTTATATATGTAATATGTATAATTTTGTATACAAGCACAAGTGTACAGAAATAATTATGTGGATATAAAATAATAGTTATGTATAATTATATGGATGTATTTTTTACACAAAAGCTACTCTAGATTTTTATATCAAAATAAATTAACATGTATCTTTTTTTAAATTAGTCAGATAATTACTTTAAAGATAGAAAAATCCTTATTCTTCATATAAAATAAATCACAAGTATAATATTATTTTATATCAATCTTAGAATTATTTTTATTCTATATACAATAAGGAATTATATTAATGTTATATAAAAGTAATAATCTAGTTAAGAATAAGAATAGCAATTTGTTATTTTAGTTGATAATATTTTATTATGTTACAAACACAAAGCCAATAAATCAAATAAATTCTTGATACATTTTAATAACCAAATTTTATTTATAATAAAAATCATCTGTATATAACATATGCATTGTGTGAATCAAGTATGTCATTACTATCATTTGTTTCATATCGGTTCAGATATTACATATAAAGTTAAAGATATCATATATTAATATAATTAATCGTGGCTGTTATATGGGTATACATAATGTTTATATACAAATATCTATTTTTCGCGTAATTGACATATATGTATATGTATAATATATTTATAATATTGTTTATCATATATTATCTATTTTATCATTTATATATATATATATTTTATAGAAAATTATTTTTCTGATTTGAGAGAATTTGGCTAACTATTATTTGTTTAATTATATCTGTATGTTTTTTTTTATTTTCTTTTAATGTTAAATATTGCAAAAATAGTCACACATTTATGTGAGTTAATTGTATTACACAGATATTTAATAACATCACAACTTTATTTTGTTTTAAAACATGCATCAGTGAAGCGAAATGCATTATCCTTATTCACCAATGTGAACATATATAATATGTAGTACAAATTACTAATAAATGATGATAGAATAATTTTAATTACAATAGTTTTTACTTTTTTATAAATTATCATGTTGCAATTATACTTATGATAGTAAAAGAGAGAGATTGAGCAGGATGATAAAATCATAAATCATGAAAATTATTCACAATTATAAATAAAATGATTCAAAAAAATAGAAATATAAAGAGGTAAGAATAAACATCTTCAAATACTCTTATAAATAAATAAATAAATGATAATGTTTTTACGCGTCTATTTTATAAAAAAAAAAAATTACCAAATTTCTGTAACTAAAAAAATTATTGGAAAGATATAAAAATAAATTATTTTAATACAATGCTTAAGAAATTAAGATACTAAAAATTGATAAATTTGATCATTACGTTACACTATATATATAAATATAGATAATGATCGATGCGAGTAATTATAATTGGTTGAAACGTGATCAAATGATAATATCTCGAATCTCTGCAATTCAGCCATTATTAATTAAAAGAACGAATATATTTAAAATTTACAAACTAAATAACCATATGGAATAAGAACTGTGGATACTATATATAAAGCAGTAAAAAATACGATAATTAATTTTTAATCACAATATAAAGTAGAATTAATAAAACTTATTAATAACTAAAAATTGAAGCAAACAGGTTAAATAACTGTTCTATATTCCATAGATATAATAAAGAAATGCGAATAATAGTAAAAATAAAATTATAAAAATGGTGGAACGTCATAATGCATCATATACTTTTTATTTGAACGTAAGATAAAAAGGGATATCCTGTGCGCGTGTGCAGTAGTGCAAGCTGATTAATTTGCCAATATCAAAATATTTTTCTATTTTTTCTATTTTCTATTTTTCTAATTGTTTGAATATTTTATTTTGCTTTATGTTATATTAATTTTTTTTTAAATTATTTATGAATGTCGATGTTACAGATGTCCGAATTAATTTCTTTACACTTTTTGACATGTTTTTCCGCGTTTATCTTGTAAAAAAAAAAAAAAAATTACCAAGTTTCTGTAATTTATATACATTAATGTCGATAATTAATATCAAAAATTTGCAGAATACCAATTAGTTATTGCAAGAGGAAATTCCGAAAATATCTTACTCTTAGTTGTTTTAAATCTTTATTATAAGAATTACTTAGAACAAAAAGATGTTATAAAATTACTATTGTAACCTGCGAAAACATTTGGATCTTTTTTTAGATCTCTATCGACAATTTTAATCCTCCGATGTATCCACAGAATCGAGAATTCTGAATTTACCAATTTACAAAATGTGTTCTTTAAATTTCAAAATATATCATAAAAAGAAAGGAAAATATATCGCCATAAAACAACAAAATTCGAATTATGTGGTATCGATAAATCATGCGAAGAAAAAAAGGAAGAAAAAATCTTTAGACTTTAAATTTCGATAATAATTTCTCAAGTAATATCTGCGATATTTTATTAATAAATAAAAATATTAATTTTTTCTTATTGACACATAAAAAGAAAGATTAGATGAGGAATGATGAATTATATAATTAGAACATTTTTGCTATAAGAAACTGCCCTTTGAATTAATAGGCGATTAATTATGTCGAAATGATCCTATGTCTTTAATCGTCGTAGGAATCCTCTATATCTATTGTAGAAATATCATTTACATAAATTTGAAGTTTTTCTCGTTAACTTAAATTCAAATTCAAAGAGATATAGTTAATAAAGACCTATCTTTTATTTATTTTACTTGTTTTATCTATATAATCTTTCTATATTCTATTTATTTTACATTTTCTTATGCATTTTGACGCTATCTCACACTGTTTCACATATTCTTTTGTAAACTTTTCTTAAGCTTTTTGTAAACTTTGATAAATTTTTGTAAACTCTTTTGGAGCTGAGAGACTTTTTGAAATTTTGCTATCATTGATACAACGGTGTTGATATACTATTATATTTATAATTGCATTTACACAAAATATCTACAATTTTTCGCTCTATATATATATTTGTATTTACAAAATCGTGATATAATTTAACTTTGTTGCTGCGATGCGTTTCAATTCAAAATCATTTCATATATATATATATATGCATACATATATATACTATTACATCGTACTATTTTTACATAAATACAGACATACAGTTCACAAATTAGCGTTCAATTTTGCGTATGCTTTTCGCAGATGAAAAAATAAACATATTTTACATTATCTGACAAAACTTGTACTACTTATTACTATGAATTCCAAATAATTTTATAATTATAACCGTATTTCAATTTGCATTTTTCGCCTTTTCCCGTTTCAAAGATACTTTATATAAGAAACATATCCTGAAAAAATTAGATATAAAATGTAATGTATACGAAATCCTGAATAAAAAATATCAAACTATCCTCTTACAGAACATATTTATTCTTAAGAATAATAATTTCCATTATATTTATAATTGACAGAACGTGTTTTGCACAACGTATTAATATTAATTCTCTCTCTCTCTCTCTCTTTCAATGCGGTGTATATTCTATAACATTAAACTCTAGATAGCGAGTATCGTGAGTATGACAACTTTTGTATAAGATACAAGATGGATTGGGAAACATAACTTCAATAATTCTAAAATTTAGAAAGAAATATTTCCAGTAAAAATAAAATAAAAAATGTAAAAAATTTTTTTCGTATAAAGCTTTACTTTTGAAAAACTCGATTTTGAAATTTGGAAAATTAATAACATTTTTGGAACTTATTTAAGCTCGAATAATCCCTAATGATATTGTATCATATATTGTAACAAATTCACATCTCGAGATTATTAATACATAAATATAAAATTACAGCATTCTATTTATAGCGTTTTCGAATATAGCAGATTTAATCGCTCTCAGAGCGATTAATAACGTCATTGCATCGTCTCTACCAATAAAAGACTTGAATTCATAGTAAAATAGTGATTAATTGATCCAATTTAGATTAGTCCGTTCATTCGAAAACGCTATTAGTAAAACGATTAAGTTACCGAATATATGTGTATATAAAATATAGATAAATTTTATTTTTTATTTTTTAACAGAACAAATAATGTTAATCTTGCTACATATATTTTAATAGCCATTATTAAGATAAATTCAAATATATATA